GATAGTTAATTCGGCTACAAGTTTATCACCACATCTATTCATCATTTGGCGACCAAAGATTTTTAAATTAACAACTAGGTAGTTCATCACAATTTGTCCTATAAGTTTAAAAACAATAGGAATATCTTTCAGCATATACTCACGTGGTGTGGCCTATCGGCGGCAGCTAGTCAGAGGTAGGAGCGCACTGGCGCCATCTGCGGGTGGATGGCGGGGTGCACGAGACCGTGCGACAGCGCCGGCAACTCGCCGCCGTACGCCAACGGGTGGTGCCACAGCTCGCCGCCGCCCGGGAAGAACGGGCTCGCTAGGTCTGCACGCACCAACCATCACTCAACATTTATACTCTGGACACAAAAGCCTCAGGACAAATACGCATTGTTCTCGTGTCGTATAAAATGTCGACCTTGTAAATAAACGTGTAATAAACTCGCTAGTTTTGAACTTTTAATTATATGTATATCTCCACAAACATCTAATGTAACCAGACTAACTCAATACAGTAGATGTTATATTTAGCTAAAATCATTAAAAACTAAAAATTCATAACGGAAACAAACACGATGACAAAAGTGTTGTTTTGTTTAAAAATATAGATTTTTCTACTTTGGATAATTAGAATATAATATATATAAAAGCAATATTTACATCATCTTCGAAGTATTTTCAGTTTATTTTATTGCAGTGTGAACAATTAGCATGAAAACATCGACTATAATAAAGATTACAACAGTAGAACCCGAGAGGTACATATTAGGTTTTAGCTTCACGGAGCTAGGCTTGCGTGGTGTAAGCGATAACAGATACTGGCCCAAAGTCGTGCTTTCACTCGACTAACACACATCAACAATAATTGAAACCGATTATTAATTTACAGTAGATTAGAAAACTATTGACCTACCGATAAATCGTGTTTGTACAGTCGCCTTCGTTCATAGTGTTCCAGTTACGGAATAATAGGCTAGCACCTCCCAACGAATTTAAGCTACGAACATTATTATACATAAAGAATTAGGGTCTTGTTGAAGTTTTAAGAAACAATTTTTTATCCCAGACTATTGTGTAGAATAAATTATAACATTCATCGATTTCCATGTATTTAACGTGTTGAAACGATTGTCACTTTTAAAGTAGAACACCGCGTAAGAACGCCACTGTACAATCAAGACGCTTCCAGTCTGAATATAACGTAGTAGATATTAGGTGGGTGTCGGTTTGCATAGGAGATCGAGGTAACTGGAAGTGAGTGTATCACCGTGCGGGTAGTCGAGCGAAGGCGGGCGGCGTGTGCGTGTGTAGGACTGTGACCGTGGGCCGTGGCTGTGGGAGTGTGGGTACTTACGTCCGGTGAGAGGGTGCATCAATGCGGGGTGTGCGGCCGGCGCGGCTGTGGCAACTGCCGGCTTCGGCTTGCTGACCTTCGTGTTGCTTTTAGCGAACTCCAGCCGAATCGTTTGCGGCATGTCTGGGTCGAACCGGACGCCCTGCTGTGAACAGCCGCAGCGGCGCGGCGCTCCGATATAATGACGATGGAACGGTCAGTCGCCGCGTGGCGATGCCCGCCATAATTGGCTCCGGGTACTGTCTGTACGCTTGATAAGTGCTATATCCCCCATTTACTATGACGATTCATAGTTAAATATTGAAATAATTTTACGTATGAATTAAAAAGTAAGTCGCGCCCGCGCCTGCTGATGTGACGTAACACAGTGCTAAGGGTGTGGCGTCAAACCTGTCAAACAGTGACATGCAGTTGCATATTTACACCGTACAACTGTCCCGGCTGCGTGGGAGCCGCTCGCGGTCCGAGCTCGGCGTCGACCGCTCAGTATGTGCATGGTTTTAGCATAACTTACGATGCGGTTACT